GAAAAGAGTCACAACAACCTTAATTCAAGGCAATGAGAGGCAAGAGCTTGTAGCTGGTTATCCTTTGTAAGCTACATACTGCTATAGTAGCAGATATTTACTGGGTGGAGAGAGAAGGTCTGAGAGCATTTGGCATGTAGGACAACCGGGGAAAGTGGATCTTGAGAGCTGCTCTCCACCACTTCTGGAGGATATAAGTACGTGGGACTCACACCCGGTTGAACAGATGCTCCTGGATGGACCTGCATAAGGTTAGAGCCTGGTTTCTGCATTCTCCCCAACTTTTCTGAGCTCTGGGAGGCACAGGACAAACTGTGGAAGGCTTTGTGGGACCTCCTTCAGGTCATGCTGGAAGTGGTGCTACAGCACAGGATTGCCCCAGTTCCACTGGCCTAGTGTTTTAGCAGTGCTCTGAAGGGCAGAGGCATCTGTAGGTTGTTTTAATGTGATAACAGCTCTTAATGTCTTGAGATCTCTCTGTAATACCTGATATCTCTAATATCTCATTGCAGGAGTTTGCATGAAAACCCTTTGGGAGTTCTGTTTGAAACTATGACTTCAGGTTAACAACTCCTGGTAGAATATGAAGGTTTCAGAAGAGGCCAAAGGAGATGGGTTTTACAGGATCTAGCAGACCTCTTGTAAGTTGTGAGTGCTTTTGAAATGATAGCAGACTATTACCAAAAGCAGCTCTGTCACGAAAGGTTTTGACATCAGTTGCATTAAGAGGACATTGTCAGATAGGTTCCAGGGATGGTTTATAGCCTTTACGACTCTCCTAACTGTGTTCCTTTGAAGGTGAAATCGGGGTCTGATTTCTAGCTCATCTTACAGTGAGAAAACCCATCTCCTTTCACCTGGAAATCCTTTATTGATTTTGTTTTCTTGTTTCTAATGGTGCTTGAAAATAACTCAAAGTTTATGTCTGTTGCTTTATGCCTGTGCTTGCATGGTGTCTGGTGTTTTGGTATTTCTGAAAATGAGCTTTGCTGCTTGTTCACACACCATCTGTTGGCTTTTAGAGAGTTATTAGGTATGACTGGCCAGAGAGTCAAGGAGTCTCCTTACATCTGCCTGCGAATCCCTTTCTAAAGCCTATTGGCCTGTGCTATTCCCGCCTCCTCAAAATAATGGTGTAAAACAGGGCAGATCCTTGAGTAAGTGCCACGTTGCATGGATAAGCACGTGTATATAACCTAACACAGGAATAATGTTTGTGGAGCCTGCATTAACCATGCCTATTTTAAAAACATTTATTTTTCTTGGAAGAGAAATTAAAAATAAATGGAGTGCAGAGGCCATTTCTCAGTGGATTGTGACCACCCTCCCTCCCTTGGAGCTCCCAGATGTCAAATTTTGGACAGAGTCAGCTTGAAAAACTTAAGAACTTCTTCACTCTGAGGGTGATGGAGCCCTGGAACAGGCTGCCCAGAGAGGTTGTGGAGTCTCCCTCTCTGGAGATATTCAAGACCTGCCTGAACAAGGTCCTGTGCAGCCTGCTGTAGGCGACCCTGCTTCTGCAGGGGGGTTGGGCTAGATGGGATGCCCCACAGAGGACCCTTCCAACCCCTACCATTCTGTAATCTTGCGATTCTGTGAAATTTTACTGTCTGACAAACATAATGTGCTTGGCTTTGTAAATGCAAATAAAACCGTGGTTAGTCTTAACATTTTTTTTTCATGCGTGTTAGTACTTTTCTATATGCTGTCACTGCTATGCAATGCTTTGTGAGGGATGCTGCAGCTGAATACATTACAAGAGTAGCATTTTATCTTCTGCAACACCATATGTTTTTTGGCTAATTTTTCTCAAACCACTGTAGAGATTATGATGCTACAACTTCCTATTTGATTTTTGATTTTATATGCCTATCCTATGCCATCCCATTAGTATTAATAGACACCCCTGATATTCGGTGGCACACAAAAATATCATCTGATTATTTGTGGCTTTCTCCGATGCATGCCGGGAAAGCTACATTGCACTTTTGCAGTGTGCTCATTATTTTATGATAAGCTCAGCTGTCAGTCTGGATTTCTATTATTTCTTCTGTATTTTGTGAAGCTCTAAGAATATCTGGCAGCTCCAACCTGAGTGTTTGCATTGCGCTTCAGCTAAAACAGGCTTCACTTACTTTAACCGGAGACTTGGATGTAGGCTAGCGCTCTACAGCAGCCTAAATCAGCTAAAACAAAGTAACCATCCTATTTTATTTCCACTGAAGTAAATGGCAGCACAGTGAATTTCTAACTGTTTTCTCTGAAATCTGTTGAAACCTTTCTTTTTTTGTTGTTTCAGTGGACTTTCAGTCATGTTGTAAGCCAACAACCATTAGCTAAATAATTATTTATTTAATGAATCATCCACATCTAGATTTCCTTATACTCCCCTAATATCTTTTTACACTTTCTAGTTCAGCTGATTGCCAGTGTCCCAGCTGTGCAAATACTCACTGCTACAGCAACACAGCCTCTGAGGCACGGCGTGAACTCCTTCACTGGGCTTCAGCACTGTCCTCGCTCTGAGCTGTGCTTTACCAGCTAGTCCATTTGAAGCAAATGGCTGGGACATAACAAAACCAAATATAAAATAAGCACAAAGAATGCCAGCAGTGAGGAAATCTTCCTATCGTCTGTCTTTGAGTTAGCACGACTTTGTTTTCATCCATACTGGTGTGCAGCGGGAAAGAGATGGTGAGTGAAAGCCTGCTGGGTAACAGCAACAATTCACCTCAAATTTGATTGCTGTTGTCAGAGAGAACTGCTGGCTTCTACCTGGAAATATTCTGGGGAGCTGAATCTGGTTTCTGTAGGTGTCCATGGTAAATATAATTCGTGCTAAAGGAGGAGCTTGGATCCATGAGCCTCGGTGGCTGCAGCGTTGGGCGCTGCATCATGCTCACTCTCTTCTCTGCACCAGCGCTGCGGCTTCTGTGGTCCCGCTGGAGTGTGTGTACTCAGCACACTACTGTGCTTCTGGAGAGGAGCGGGCTGGCAGTCCCCTGGAGTGGGGCACGGGGGGCACAGGGTGCACATCCCTGGGCTGCGAGGGTGCACGGCTATTGCTGGCTTACCCCTAGCACGTCTGGAAATGCTGACGACAGACACCACTTTTGCAAGGAGTTACGTCACAGGTCTTCAAATCCATATAATGCTGGCACTGTGATTTTCTGCTTGGGAAATGAAATCCATAACAAGACAGCCTCATGGCATTGCCAGGGTACCCAAAGGCAGATGCAAGTAATGAGACGCCCTTGGAGTTCACCTCTGAGCATCTGCGTTGTGGTGATGTGCAAAAGTACAGGCTCCCTGGAGAGGCTTTAGTGAAAAGGCACGCTTTTTTCAACAGCAAAGAGAGCTAACAGGCAGCTTCCCTTCCCTTAAGGTCTGGACTTCCCATCTCTCTGCTGTCGGCTGCAGCCCATCATCTGCAACTCGTGTGAGAGTTCACTCCTGAGGACTGCAGCCACGCTGCAACTTAAACAGCACTCACAGTAATGAGGATGGAAAAACAGGAGCAAAGAAAGAAGTAATGAATGGAAGAAGGGAGACTACAATAAAACAACATGTTTACATCTCCACTTTGATGAGTTTTTTCACACGAGCTACTCTGTAAAAGAAAGAATCTTAAGGCAATTGGATGACCTTAAAGCACTTGAAGTCAGTATGACCTTTGGCTTGTCGGTTTTTGCTATTTTCGTCTGCTGGGTGAGATGTAGAAATCCAGCTGATCTGTGAGGTAAATTTTCAGTTGCCATGGCAATGTGTTCTCAGTTTGGGAAGGAGATTGTTCCGTGCTGCTGTTTCATGTCTAGGGCAATATTCTTTGGTGGCAGAATTTCTTTGTTTCATTAATGCTACAACTCTGTTGTTCCTTTCCCAGCTTATGGAAACATGGCTCAGCCTGAACACCTTTAGCCCTGTAAAAATACAGTTATTTGCATTTTTTTTGTTGTAAGAACATTCCTTAAGTCTGGAGGTAAATGTTGATCCATTTTGGTAGCTTGGATGCAGCAACATCCTGACGCTGTGAAGTTTCACCGTGAAGTGAAAACAAACTGGAATCACTCCACCTTTGCTTCCATGTAGTTTGAACAGACTAAAGTATATCCTGAACTATAGAGTCTTATAAAAGAAAAGTAATTTAAAAGTACATCCTACCTATAGTATATATTTTACATATTAGATTTCTACAGATCTCCATATGCTTTCAGTCAATGCAGATTCATTTCCTAAGTACTGCAAATTCCTAATTTTGATGAATTCGTGCTTAAGGCCACAAATGGAGTTTCTCTTGTTTCTTTTACCACCTTTAGTTCTTTGTTTTTCCACACACCACCTTCACCTTATTCCTAAGGTGAGGAGTCAAGCAGGAGCAGGCATCCTGGTCTCTGCTGGCTCAGTGCAGTCTGCAGTAGTGGGAACAGGCTGCACATGGCTCTGGAGGGTTAGGAAAGCACATAGACAGGAGTTGGCCTAGTCTGATACAGTGTGGAGGTTTCACAGAATGGAGGGCTCCTATATTTGGGTAAGAAGGACCCCTTTCTGGTCACGTTCCCCATTTCAGTTGCATGTGACCTTCATTGCCTTTCTAACCTGCTTGGTTTCACTGAACTCATCTCGCTTGTCTTCCCGAGTGACTTCACACAAGGGTGCAGCAGCTGTGGCACTTTGCACAACGCTGCTTCTTCTTCTTGGGGTGGAAGATGGTCAGGATTGCTTCGTCGAAGACAGTCTTAAGGCCTTTCTGCGTGAGGGCTGAGCACTCCAGGTAGCATTGTGCTCCGATCTGAAAGAGAGGAGAGAAAATGTGAGTACCCACTGCTGGGAGAGACCGAGCGACCCAGTTCCAGCATCCTTCTACGTGTAGATGTGTTCTGCCACAGAAGGAAACCCAGACCTTTAAAAAGGGGGTCAGGCCCTAGCTTTGCTTTGTATCTGGCTGCCTATGTGGTTAAGGGAGAAGCTCAGGCGGTCATCCTGAGCGAGGGAGCAGAGATAAGCATCAACACCAGTATCTCACACAGGCGGTTAATGGGGAGCAGGAATTCCCTGCATCACCCCTTCAGAGAGAGGGGGGCTGCATCTGTGTTCGAATGCTGGCCTGGAAGCTTGGCCTCGTGTCTGTGCAGCTGGGGGGGTTTCCAGGAGATGCTGGGTCATTAGCTGAGCCCCTTTATATGCTTGTCTCTTTTCTCCTGACCTGTCACCCCTGTGTCCTGCTTTCATAGAATCATAGAATCCTTAAGGTTGGAAAAGGCCTCTAAGATCATCAAATCCAATCGTCAAGGTCCCTTCTGCAAGACCAGGGAGGTGCTACCTGAAGGAGGGCTTCCAGCTGGCTTCTGGGAACTCAGAAGCATCATCTTGACATGGGAATCTCTGGGAGGTGCTGATATGATGCAAACACACAGAAGGGACTGGGAAAGCAGCCTCAAGTTATTCAGTAACCTTGTTGCTGAATCATCATATTCTATAAATGGATGGTGTTGCTGGCCTTGGAGGGCCAGAGCCTGCAACAGCACCTGCTGCATGCAAGGTGGAAATGGCTGGGGTCCAGGTGCCCACATTTCAAGGCTAAGGGAAGGCTTTTATCCCCCTGCCTTGCTGGGAGAAAGGTGCAATATCACAGAAGCCTCGGGAGCTCCTTCTCTGCTGCTTGAAGTGCCGTGGATAAGTGAGCAGCAAGTTGTCTGTGCTTTTGTAAGGGATGGGGATGAGTTTGGCAGAAGGCAACTGCAGAGGGGGGTTTGCCACATGCACCTTCTGGCAGAAGCCTGAACAAGAAACACTTGACTTAGGTAAAGTAGGCAGTAAAACCTATGTTGCTGCCCATTTGCCATCTGCTGCTCTGTGTACCTTGCCGCTTTGCTTACGGCTCAACTGGGTATCATCACAACAAAACATCAGGCTCGGGAGTCACAACCTGTGCCTAGGTCCAGCCTGTTTGAACAGAGACTTCAATCTCTGGCTGGGACCAACCAATGTGCCCTGGAGGAGTTCACCTTGAATGAAACAAATCCACTGGAAGGCTGTGATCAATTGATTTCCTGGGACCTCAGAAAAAGCTATTATTACCTCCTTCGCTAGCTTCACTCCATGCTCGTAGGTGAGTGGTTTCTCCTTCATGTAAAGCAGACGAGCCAAAGTTTTAGGATCATCCCGGAGATCAATCTAATAGAAAATACACAAAACCTATGCTCAGAACCACCTTGCTGTAATTCTTGAGACAGGTATTCATAATTTTACAAACCCACAGTCATAACCTCACATAAGGGCATCTGCTCTACCGACCTCAGATGATACTTCAGAAATGTTACACATATATTTTCCTTTTTTTTTCTTTTTCCCTTTTTTCCCTTTCTATTGAACACGAATTAGATCTCACTGGTGGGTTACTGGGCCACAGCTCAGATAGCTGCGGTACAGTAAAGATGCAGTTCTCAATGGGTCTCACAATGCTTCTTGGAAAGTGTTGGTGGAAGCCTGAGCCTCACTGAAAGGGGAGGCTTCTGCGACCCTGCACTGCATCACCCAAAAAATACCGACAGGCCAGACAGTCACAGCTCAGTCTGACTTGAAACAAAATCCTTTATTTCCATGGAACATATCAAAATGAAACATTCTGGCATTTCAAACCCATCCATTTTCAGAGTATGTACTCCAAAGGGTAATACTTCTATTTTAAAATGAGTGGTTTAGATTATTCCACTGTGGAAAACAAAACCAGTGTTTGAAGAATTGAACTTTTCTGTGGCATGAAGATTTTGGTTTTGGCCAGAATTTGATCTGTTTCTCTAACATGGCTTAGGTTACTGTCCAGCATTCGGACATTTTTCAGTCTTGTATCCCTACTTCTCATAGTCTCTAGCCACTTGATGTCTTGGAAGTAAACCCATATTTAAATCATTTTTATTTGATTGATAGATTTATAGATTTTAAGGCCAAAATAAAATGGTTTGATCATTTAGCCTAACATCCACTCTAACACAAGCAGGACGGTGAGTCACTAACTGCAATGTTGATGTGAAGCATGAGGAAGGCTATTTCCTTCCCATGTCTCAAAGTAAGTAATTATTCCCATTCTTAAAATTTAGTTTGAAGTTTAGCTTCTGTTTCTAACAAGACTTTGATGTTTTTTTCCCCTCACTAAATGCCTGTCAGAAATATTTTCTCCCTTCAGATATTTATGCCTTGATATCACGTTAACATACATTTCAATAGAAAGATGGGTTAACTTTTCCCAGTCACAACTAGCATGATGGGACATTTGCATATTGGTTTCCTTTCCCAGTCCCTGAGTTTTTCTCTAATGGCTGCGTATCACATAAGAAGTTAAACAGGAAACCCTTCCACAGAGCTCAACCTCTAGCCACCGCTGGGGTGGAGTAGGAGCCCCCTCGCTCTGAAGACCCCCGCGATGGCTGGCAGTGCCCCGGAGGAGCGTTACCTGTGTTCCTATGAGGACGTAAGGCACGTTGGGCATGCAGACTTTCAGCTCGGGCACCCACTCCTCCTGGACATTGTGGTATGAGGCGGGGTTCACCACCGAGAAGCAGATCAAGAACACATCTGTGTTGGGGTAGGACAGGGGTCTCAGCTGGTTGTAGTCCTCCTGCCAGGGAGAAAACAGCAGGTATGTTATGGGGTGGGAGATAACTGCAGATGGGGGCATCACGTTAGCTCTTGGTGAACTGCTCAACACTGTCCCTCCATGCTCGTGCACTTTTGTAACCTCCGGTGAGCTGCTGGGGAGAGGGAAATCACCCCTCGTGGGCCAGGGGTGCTGTTTTGGCAGCATCTTTACCCAAAAGAGCGAACACATTTTGTTTGTGTGTGTATTATCCGTGGTGATGCTGGTGTAGAGGGTAATGCTAAACAGTGGCTGTCACTGGTGGTGTAATAAAAATTGATCTTGAGGCTGCATGTACCGGCCTCAACCCTTCAGCAATGTATACCATTCTGGGAAGTATTATTTGACTTGCTGCTAGCTAATATTTACTGGTGACACACATCTCTAGGGGCTTTTCTGTTAATATCATGGGTTTTCTATTCCCCAGTAGACGTTATAGACATGACCACATACAACAAATAGGGTCTCTGGGCTAATTGGTGCCATTGCAGTCATGTACGGTATGCAGCAATGTGTCAGTCAGCAGAAGACACTCATCTTGGAAGTACAAAGCAGATCAAATCCAGCCTGCAGTGTCTGGGTAAATTGCTGGGGGTCATTTAGTGTTTCCACAGGCCCCAGACTGGGGAAAGAGAGATGTTTTCTCTATGGGCTAGCTGTGAAGAGGGTGAATTTTCAAAAACAGCTTTAAGCTATGTTCTGTCATGAGCTAGCTTTGATAGCTGAGTTTCAAGGCAGAATTTCGGTCTGTTTCAGGCTTGAGGTGTCGAAAACGAGCAGAGGTTTTGCGAGCTGTGTGACAGGGATAGACTGGCTCTTTCTGACAGTAAGAGCATAGGTAGCTGTGTCTGGTGGGTGCTTTTCAATGAAAGCTGTTAGAAAATTTCAGTGCAATGAAACAGAGGTTTTTAGAGGGGATACACCTGTTCTGAAGACTTTTTTGGGGGATCCAGAATTAAAAAAGGGGAAAGGAGAACAAAGTTGGAGTGTGGGAAATTATAATAGATGTTGCTGTCAAGCCTGACTGAGACCTAGGGAATTAGTTTACAGTTTCTGCATTCTGGGCAAGCCTCAAATCTCTACAGTATGGTCACTTTTGGTTATAACTGTATGAAAACTCAAAGGGTGTAGTTTTGCTTTGCAGTCACTGAAATAGTTGATAGCTCAATGTAAAGGAAAAAAAAAGGTGCTGTTGCTCAGACTTGAGAACATTTATTTGAGGCAGGGAAAACCCACCTTAGGGGCAGGAGCAATGCAACTGCTGTCTGTCCTGCAGGAGAAACTGATGTAGGACTATATAACTGTGTGCCCAGATCAGATGGTGTCTTTATTCAGCCTTGCTTCTGCCTGGCATTTGTTTGGGTCAACAAATGAGAGGGCTTAATCATGAGTTGAGACTGGTAAATCTTCTTTCCAAAATCTTTTGTTCGCTGAACATGCAGTGATAAGAAGATCCTGATTACTTCTGAATCAACACTAGTTTCCGAAAAATACTGATGGATTATGTAAAAACAGTCTGCTCCAACCTTTTCTAAGCAATAAACCTTAATTATTTACTCTGAAAGGAAGCATGAGGCCAAATTTAGCTCTGTTTCATTAAAAACAAGTTTAAAGAAACATCCTAAACCACAAAAAAATTCTTTTGTCTGACTGATGGTTCATTGTTTCAAATCCACTTCAACTGAAAGAGTAAATTCCCAGTTACCACCTCCAGCCCCACAGCCACAGTATTTGGGGTAAAGCCTGACTATTTGTACAACTGACCTATGCCTTTGCAGTGATAAAAAGATTGCAGAAAGATTTATATTATGAGAGCAGGTGTTTGGACATATCAACTCCCAATAAAGAGTGGATTCTCCACAGTCAAGGAATGGCAGGAAAAAAAAATCAGAGGTGTTTGTGGGAACGTCAGCAATACAGGCCACAAAAAAGTAAAGCTGGTGGGAGATTTACATGAGGCTCTGGAGATGACACCCAGCTCCCAGCAGATGAGTTGATAAGAGACAAAGTGGATGCCAAGACGATGGGCTCAACAGAGCAATTGCATTACAGAGACAGATGAGTTTTAGGTGGATGCTGTGGGTTAGGAAGGTCTGGCCTGATCATGAGACATTATTTTAACCCAGAACATAAAGGTTGAGATTAAGCGTGTTTATGCCACAGTCAACGCAGGCTGACACTAGGTGCTTGGCAAAGGCCTTTACTGTTTTCGGTTTAATTGCTGCAAATCAGCCTCCTAAAACAGCCACGTGGTGGCAGCAAGCTCTCGAGGAATCGTGATGAAGGCTTTTTGGAAAGAAATTGGCTAAATATAACCAGTTTCAATATTCCAGACGTGCATATTTAGAGGGGCTGGAACTTACTGTACCATTAAAATTACAGACTAAAAGCTCTGCCTGGCGGTGACAGCTACAGGAGTGTGCATTTCATTTTAGTTTCCATGTTCCTTTGGAGCCCCTAGAAAATCCTCTTTTCAGGAGGACCGTTCCCAACTTGTAACACAGAGCATTATATAAGGCTTAAGGAGGGACAGCCACGCATCACGTAGCAGAGGTCTCCTCTCCCATCAGGGCTCACGGGATCTTGCACGGATGTGTCCAAGCACAAGTCTTGTGGATAAGCATTGGTTTGGGCTCCTGCACATGCCTGTGTCGGTGGGCTGCCAGCAGCTTCCAGACCACATCAGACAAGGATCCTGTCTCTGTTTGTTCTCCTTTCTCTTTGGAGAAGGCCATAAAACCTTGCAATGGACCTTTATGAGATATGGTGCATTAGGATAATTTCTCATTCAGAGATGGTTGAACTCAAGCAAATAAGTAGTGTAAAAAAGGGACTGGACATTTGCGTGTGTATGGGGCATATCCCAGTGTGCTGCAGCTAGTGACAGTGGTGTTTGGGAAGGGATGTGAGTCCTCAGGGGGTCAGGCTGTAGCTGATCATTAATTTGTTTCCCTAGCTTGTGCTCAAATTTTGCTGCCTGTTATTTAGGGAGTGCAAGGCCTCCCACTGCCTGGCCACTGGTTTGGCATGGCAATGCCAGCACCAGACCTGTCCTTGCTGAGTTACCTGCCTGTGACTTTCTGGGGCTGAGAAACCTCTCCTGGTGTTGCTCCCTCCCCGCTCTATCTCTGCCATCAGCCTTGCGATCTTTGGGCCCAGAAAGTACAGCAAAACTTGTTTTTCTGATGTTGCTGCCATGCTGATGTCACATACACTCCCTGCCATGGCAGCTTGTTAAAGCACTCCGCACCCGAGTCCAGTCTGGGGAAAAAAGATCACTTTTTTTGTCTTTCCCTCCTAGGACTGTTTGTGCCAGGGATACTGAAAACCAGATACCCCAGATCTGGGGTCTCTGCCAGCTCTCCCTTCAGGCTGACAGAGGGTCCTGCTGCAGGAGTACATTTTCCAATTGTTATTTCATTAGCATATGTTTTCTAGCATCGTAACGTCAAGTGCTATTTTTGGCTATGACTTCACACCGATGCCTTTGGCAAGCTACACAACACAAGGAGAAGGAGGGAGGAAACAACCCAGATGATCTGTCCCAAAATCTTGAGCATGTGGGAAGCATCATCCTTTCAGCCTCCGCAGAGATGCTATCTGATCATCAAGAAGTGATTCATGCTCAGAGTTTTGACTAGATGGCCACGTCCTCTGCACCAAAGTCTGAAAGGGAAATGAGTCTGATGAGTTAGAAATGGTGCTTGGAGGCAGGTGGTGCTCTGGCTAGTTTGAGGCAGGAGATGGCAAAATGACTGTGGAGGAACAGGTGGAGGGGTGAAGTTTGTCAAAGAGGAAGATTAGTGTTTTGTCTGGCTCAGGAGGGCAAATAAGAGGATGTGTTGCTGAAGAAATGAGTGGCAGGTGGAACTGTCAGCCCTACAAAACAAGCAGAAATGTTAAGGCACTGGGTAAAATCTAATTGAGAACAGACTATAACTGCAGTCTCGTTTGCAGAGGCTTGCAGTGCTGCTGGATCGTAACAGACATGCTCCAAGATCTGTGTTTGTTAGCACAGAATAGAAAACTGAACATGCATTGAACATGGGACAAGGACTTGGGTCATATTTTGGGACTGGCTTTTGGATCATCTGTTGGCATCACGTAAATAGAAAGGTTGGGTGGGCTGGAATTGACACCAAGCTGGCTAAGAAGTGACCGTTTCTTCCTATAGACATGTGATAGGAATAAAATGAACAAAAAGTGAAACCCAAAGCATAAAAACCCCAGTCCTGCTGAGCGGAGGTTTTTGTGGAGGTGACAGTCTGTCCTGATGTGTTTTTTGAGTTCTTTGCATACTGCTGCAAAGTATATTCTGTAATAAGTGGCCTTCTGCAGACAGGAGGGTCTCCTTCTGCATTGTTTATGCATTTCATAACAGTCAGTCACAGCCAAAAAAAAACACTGCCAAGAAGCCCTCCTGAAAGCAAAGCGCAGTAGCCAGAGCTGCTCTGTCCCAGAGAGTGAAGCAGGTTCCCAAATTTCCTTTCCTCTCCTGCTGCCTCCAAGTGCCAGCTCTGACCGGAGGAGCTGGTGGATGTGGGTTCCAACCTTCGCAGGCTGGGATGGACCTAGGACCTGCTCCCTCCCCTCTCAGCAGGTGATTTTCTGCAAGGTTTCTGTGCAGACTGTGGTCCTTTCTTTATTCTGCCAGTCGCTGTCATTTGGAGGTAAGAGAGGGAGGAATTTTCACCATGAAAGTATGTTGCTCCCTTGTGCTCTCTTCTGTCCTGGCAGGGTAAGGCAGTGAGAAATACTCTCTCCTCCTCTCCAGGGGGTGAAATCTGCCCACAGACCAGGGCTATTCTGCAATCTTTTAGTGCAACCACATTGTATCAGACCATGGATAGTGGGAACAGTTGAAGCATTATATATAAAAGTAAGCATGGGGTACAGACTCTTCCGTAATGGACACTCTTGTCTTGGGAGAAGGATGTCAGGACAGATGCCAGTCTGGCTGGGTTACCATTTAAAAAGTCTATAGCTGGTGGTCTATAGACTGGTGCTGTGTTATATTAATTTTCTCATCTTGGAAGCAGGAACTCTTCTCTGTACCTTCAATGCCACCGTGTGGTAAATGCAAGAAAACACTGACTTTGTGTCATATTTGCAGTAGGAGGTGGATATAAGGGAGGCTGAACAACCTAATCAGGCTTTAGTTTTTTGCTTAGACAAAATTCAGTCTTATGAACGAGTGTATGCATGTGTGTTTTATTGCTGAACCAGAATGAAATCTCTATGTAGAAAACAAACAGGAGAAGGTCAGCAGTTCAACCATTACAACTCACAACCGATTGTTAATATTTGTAAACCCCCCCCCCAAAGGCAGGAACAACAAACCCCAGTACATAATAGTAACAAACAAACCATGGGAAAGGAAACTTATAAATGTTTTGCAGTAATTTACCTGCCCTGCAGTGTCATAGAGTCCCAGCAAGTGTTGTTGTCCGCCCACAGTCACAGTTACTGGAAGAGAGAAACAAGAGATGTTGTCTATGCACGAGCCAGTGGACTCATTTTTATCTGTTTTAATCCTAAAATGCCAATACATCGCTGTGCTAGACACATTAGCACGTGTCTTACAATGTGCAACCAAGAACATCTCTTCAACCCAAATGAAAGGCGACCTGCAGCTACAACAGAAGCAAATGCTTTATGCCTAGCTCTTCCTCCTTCACAGACAGATGAGCCTCACACATTGCTGCTATCAGGGACCCAGATACTGGTGGACATTTGCTTCTGCCTCTGCAGCCACCAGCAGACCCCATGAAGCGCTAGGACCTGAAAGCACAGGACTCCTGCATCCCCACCATAAGCGTTGGTGTAGGTTTATCATGGATCACTGAGAGCAGTTTGTAAATTCTTTTCTTTGTTCTAGGCTGTGAAACAATGCAGCATTCAGCAGTGGTTGATGTTTGGTGGGTGTCAGTGGAGGTGCGCTTCCTCTTGGGCAACCTGTCCTGTTCCTGTGTCACGCAATCGCAGGTGGCAGTGCTTAACGGATGGGGCTGTGTGCTGGAAGCTTTGAAGGATGGGGAGGAAGAGGAGCGCTAATATTTGCAGGGATGTTGAGCAGAGTCTGTTGCAATGAACAAAAGCAAGACTTAGTTTATTGATCAGACTCAGCATGTTTACTCCTTTAGTAAAATTCACTTTGAACTTCATTTTAAGCCCACTGACATTGATGAACATATTTTCTCATCGCCTTTGCATGAACCCTGTTATTAGCTGATCTCTGTAATCAGTGTTATTTTGTATAAAGGATAAGATCTGTGTTAATGACATTTAGTTAACCAGTTAATCTGCTTAAATCATTACTACTCATCTGGACTGAAAACAGGGGAATCCAGTTCTACCCATTAGTCAACAGGGAGACTTTAAACTTTCACCAGGAAAGTTGCTCAAAATAATGGTGATCTCACAGCCCACGGACTGCTACTTTTTTTGATCACAAGGGCAAACTACTGGTATGAACACAGAGCTATGGCTGGAGGGGAGGCTAAGACTGGTGCCCATCAGCCGATAACAGCTTGCAATTAATACAGGCTGGGAAAGATTAATAGTTACTTTTGGCAAAGAGGAGGCCTGAAAACGTCATATAAGTACTTGCTGATATTTTTTTAAAGTGATAAGAATTTTGTAGGAGAAAAGCATTTGCCAGCTCATAGAAGCTAATAGCTCCCACACCGAGGAAAAATGTCCTGTCTGAAATCTCTTAAACTTGAAGTCTCTGTCAGTCTGGCTGGACAGACTGATTATTCAGCAGCTTTACTTGCTTGCGAAGCGACACGGTAATGTTGCTAGCATATAAACAGAACAAACCTGACATCCTGAAAGTGCAAAGGCTCAGCAAGGACCAGACTTGCTGATGAGAGCAGGATGGGCTTCACTCACAGGCTGCTGGGGCTGCCTTGTGATGTGCAGGGGGGGACAGAAGAAATGGGCAAGGGGCTGAGAGCCCTCCTCTGGCTCCTCGGTGGGGAGGCAGCTCATACACAGTGCAGCTCCCAGGGGAACTCAGAATGGGACTAGTTGCTGAGCAGGGATGTCCACGGGTGGAAGAGCCCAGGGAAGAGGTACCAGGGCAGGGAGGTGGGTACCAGCACAGACAGGAGACAGTCCAGATGCCCCATCCCCTTCCTTCAACCTGACTTGAATAAACTAATTTGAACAAAACTTCCCCACAGCCCTGTTTTTCAGCTTTTTGTGGTGTAGGGAGTCTCAAAACGTCCCAGTAGAGGTATAAGCTGTGCAAATCTACTGACAACATGCTTGCTTTTCTTAGCTCCCTTCTCCGAAGCAGTGGGGGCCTCACATAGTCCTGTACATCTCACTGGGAACAGGTGGGAGGTGTGAGGGTTTTTCCAGTTGCAACCTTGGCCAGCCTTCAACCTGTCCCTGTGCCAAGAAATGCAGGTGCCAGACCTGTTCTGCTGATCTTACTCCGCTCAAGGACTGGCTGCGGGAAGATGTACCTTTCAGGTGCAGGTGATTTTCCAGCTGCAGCGTGTTAGCCATGCAGTGCTCAGCTGGCCGAGGCGATGTTTGGGACTGCACGTGAGCATCAGTCACACTGACAGTCCTTGGTGGAATTTGTGCAGAGTCTGCGGAGCACCTCCAAAGTGGGATGCTCACATGACAGCTGCATGGCCGTGGGGTGCATGGAGGTGCAGGTGATTTAATGTGTCTGACGAATATGAAGAGGCATTTGCCATATGTCAGTACTGACATAGTTGTTCAGCTCTGTTTCTCATGCTGGCTAACTGAGCACAGACAGACTGAGCTGGGTTCCACTTACAAAAGATCAGCTCAAGTCTTCAGTGTTTTAAAAGCATCGACGTTCCACTGAAATTTACTCCATCCAGGCTTGGCCTGCTGTGAAGCTTTGCTGGCTCATCTCTTGGTGGCATCTGACTGGCAGAGCTACACTGGCGAAAAGCCCTGGTACAGATACAAATCGCTGCCTTGTTCCAGTAGTTAATATGATCTGGAGATAAGCTGTTTGGATAGAGGTCCAGTCCACCTCCGGCACAATACCCTTTGCCAGAACGATACGCTGCAACAGCTCCTTAACTGTCATCTGTGCTCTGTCGTCTGTGAAGTCATGGTGGATATTTTGCAACAGGCCTGCAGAGCCACACACTGAATAGTTATTGGTAGTTTGTACAGCTCAGTTTGGCTCTTGGTGACCTTTGGGAAATGCTGAGGGGGAATAAAAAGTTTGGTGGTGTCCTACCATTACACTTCACAGATACATGGGCTAAGAAATGCAAGGGCTTTTGGAAAAACACACCCTGAGACTACCCAGCTTGCGCATACCATTTCAACTCTCCTTACAGCATCCTGCCTCTCATGGGTCCTGCTGTGAATTTCTGCATGACACCGGTCTTTTTTACTTTTTTCCTTTTCCTTCTTTTCCTTTTCTTTTCCTTTCCTCCATCAAGCTTTGCATTTTCTTTCTTCTTGTTGATTGTTCTAAACTATCTCATCAGCAGAAGATACCCTTCCTGTCCACATCACCTCTCTTAAGTTTACATCTACCACCCCAGCAAAACCGTTTTGTAGGCTAAACTTCCACCACGGGCAGATTGCTGTCTTTGGATTCCCAGCTCTGAATGCAGTGGGGACCAAATGGCTCACACTGACAATTCAAATAATCACTGGCTTCTGAAACAGCGATGTCTAAATTAATGTATTGGTGCTCAAACTTCCACCACACTTCCATGCAGGCAAACCAGATGTCAAAATACATGGCTTTTGCCTGTGAAAACATCATGGTATTTTTATACTAAGAGTTTATCAGTCTGCCTTTGTCAAGCAAAATGCTGTTCAGCATGTCCACTTGGTAGGTCGTATTTGTGAGCTGAGATTGCTTTTCTAGATTTGTAGGCCTTACTTTTGGCTTAATCTCAGTTTATTTTTACTTACCTTCTTACTATCTTTTCCTGTTCTCTCAGTGGCCAAGCCTATGGGAAGCCAACATGAAATTCCTTCCCAGTCACTGAGGGTAATGCAGGGTCCTTTATGGGCTTGTGAACTTGGCTTTATGAGCAGTCTTGCAGTAAGAAGACAAATACAAACTCTCCTTGCCATTTACTGGGTGTATTGATATATTGATTAAGCACTGAAACAACATGGCTTTCAACACCAAGGGCAGTGGAGACTGCAATAAAATGTGGCTGAATACTTGCATGTCCTGGTTCTCATTTGGTTCCAGTCTGAGTTGCGTCAGACTATGTGACAGGGCAGATGTTTTCCTTCTTTCACTGGGTGGTTTTAACCAAGTGCAGGATGTGTAAAACACTGCTTTTAAAATGTTAATTAGATCATAAATTAGCTGGGTATTTCTTTCTAGAGTTGGAGTAACCATCTTGGGTCACCTCCAGGGTTTTGTCGCAGGTGTGTGTGCCTGGGCCTTTTGCTAGTGGGCTTGAACACAGAGCTCTGAAACATGCTGTCCCATTTGAAGGCCACAGCAGAAAGGCAAGGTGCTAGATGGAGTTAATGTGTGAGCTGGATCTGGAGTGTGGACCACGAACTGGTCTGAGCTGGCAGCTCTGTTTTTAAATAAGTGATTAGTTTGTGTTCTTGGGGACAATGTGACAATTGTTGTTGATATTCTTGTTGCCCAGATTGGCCCAGATCCACCTGTCAATGATCAGTCTTTGCCAAACTCTTCCCGTATTGTAATTCATTTGCTTGCAGCAAAGCCCTTGTGACTTTGTGGGACTGAACTGTACCCATGGAAGAGCCCTTCAGCCACACAACAGCAACATTCATGGTATGCACTGACGGAAACGGGACGTAAATTGTCTGCTGCCCTCTGAGAATCCCTTATCCTTGATTAATAGCACAAAGCAATGCGTAAGTCTCTGGTATGACACCAAACTAGGATGCAGTAGCTCAAACACGCTTAGCTGTGGTACAGGAGAGTGGATGTGCACATTACGGGGAATTTTTCCATGCCTGTGAAGAAGTGCTTGCAGAACCAAATGACTGTGAAACCGCTAGCCAGAATATACACAATAGCTTAGGCAATGTCTAATGGGATAGCACACGGCAGAAGTCATCTATTTATTCTAGTGCCTTCCTGCCAACAAATTGATGTCCAGCTGCTTTAGAGAGAGATGCCAGGGCATAACAGCAAGCAGAGATGGCAGCACCTGCCTGGATGGAAAGGGTTCCTCAGTTTTTTTGGCAAATTAGTCTGCGTCAAGCCTCAAACTTTCACAAGGGCTATCTTGTGCCCCCGCCACCAGGATCTGACTATTAAGTTTGTGCATATTCGCTATGATTATATGTGCCAGATATACGTTACTTAACACAGACTAATAGCCACCCGTATAAGAACGACTGCAATTCAGGTTGACCTACTGGCGGTGGAAATGCTCAAGTCTCTTTTCCAACTGAAAAAGAGGGTAATATCAGGAAGATGGACAGAAGAGCAGTTTTTGGTCAGCTGCAGC